GTAAATGACCCTGGGTCCCTTTGGGAAGGGCTTATGGAATCGTTACTCTGTATGTTTACCGGGGTGTTGCACGATTCTTTCTTCCAGAGACCTGACTGAGTCCAACTCTGAAAACTGGTTCAGATTCAGAAAAGGCCAAAGGATCATGACACTGTATTGGGGCTACTGCTTTCAGACTCCTTATTATCCATCCTTGACTTCTTCTAGTGGTCTAAGCTAAGAAACATTCTTGTTGGTCGAGTATCTATTTTGCCTCTATGGGTGCTGTGTTCCTTTAATCATCTCCTTAATTCTGTGGGTCAGATCTTCTTGGCTGCCAATCCAACCCCACTGCGCATTGTAATAACTTCAGCCACCTGGCTTCTGCAGTTAAGTGCCACCACCTGGTTTCTTTGGCGCTGGGCCTATCGTCACCATTGGTATCACTGAGTCAAATTCTCTACCTGGTCGGTCGCAGTGGCTCATGCCTGTAATCCCAGAACTTTGGGAGGTCAAGAGGGGTGGATTGCCTGAGGTCAGGAATTCAAGACTAGTCTGGCCAACTGGCGAAACCCCATCTCTACTAAAAATACAAAAAAAATTAGCCAGGCATGGTGGTATGCGCCTGTAATCTCAGATACTCGGGAGGCTGAGGCAGGGGAATTGCTTGAACCAGGGAGGTGGAGGTTGCATTGAGCTGAGATTTCACCACTGCTCTCCAGCCTGGGCAACAGAGTGAGACTCTGTCTCAAAAAAAAAAAAAAAAAAAAAAAAAATTATCTGCCTACTTTTCCAACCATCAATCCTGGCTTATCGAGGAGATTTCCAACTGATCTTTTCAGTCATGCTATTTTCCTTCTCACTAGATCATTTCTTTTGGGTTTTGTAAATGGTATAGTCTCTGGCCCTTCTTATAGAACAGAATCATCTGGTAGGCCTTCCAGCCTCATGGTGTATCCACTCAGCATGCTGACTTCCCTGAGCTTTGTTATTTCTACCTCTACTGTCTGCTGGGGTAGTGCTGGCATTTCAATCACATCAAGCTTGGGCCATCACTTTCTCCCTGCTTTCAGGAGCCATTTGAGCAGCCAGGTCACATCACCTCCTGGGGTCCTTGCTAGGGTGTCAAATCCTGTATCTCTGGAGAGTGATCCCAAATCAGTACACTCTTCCTTGTTCTACCTGATGCTCCCAGCCCCTTGATCCGGCATCTTCAGGATCCAGTCCTGCATGAACTCCTCTGACTTTTGCTGGTGTAGGCTGGCTAGGACTAGCAGCTCATTTGAGGTCTTTTCTTCCATTATCAGACCCAGCACATACCCCTAGTTATAAGCCTAGTTACAAGGAGCAGAGATGGTGGGGAGAGGCCTGTGTATTGTCTTCGAGTAAGGTGGGGGAGGGAGAATTGGGAAGGGAGAGAGTAGTTAGCTCTTAATAGGGACAGGTGGGCAAACCCTGCAGGATCAGAAGATTTAAAACAATGTGGGAATACAACATTTGGGGTTCATCTACTCGAATGTTCCCACCCAAGTTCCAGAGTCCAAATGCCCTCCAAATGTCTCCATTGCCTTTAGACTTAAGCCTGTAAGTGTCCATGAAATAGAAAGGGCAGAGCAACCTTCCTTTGTAGAGAGATTGTTGTGTGCCTTGCCCAACTTGCCTCAAATCACACAGAAGCCAGTAACAAGGGGGTGCCCAAGGATCATTTTCCTACCAAATACTGAAAAAATCAAATCTCCAGATTTGCTGCAATGGGACAGGCTCCATAATGATGAAGAATTTCATCTTGATTTAAGTTTGCTAAGTTATAAATAAATGCTGTTTAAGCACTACATTGACAAAATTGCTTAATTTAAGAAGGCAAAATATCTTACTATCTTCAGAGATCACTACCCTTGATCTTTTATTCACTTTTTAAAATGGATCCTACACAAGAATGCCCTAGGAAATGATGAAGTTCCACTCTGACATGTAGGATCCCCAGTGTTCCTGGAGTCATCTCCTTCCTAACTGTTCAATTCATGAAGCTGAGCTTCATTTTGAAAGACAGAAGAGAAAGGGATCTTGCAGTTCTACCTACTTTGGCATGGGAGTTTTCCTGTCTAAAAGGAAGCCCTTCCTTTCTCTTTAACAAATCTTTATCAGGCACCCACAGATCACAGTGCTAGGAATATTAGGGAGTATAGTAAGACATATATACACGGTTACTGTCCTCAAAAAATTTAGTACCTAATTGGGAAGGAATAGGAAAACTCAAATATCAAAGCAGGTCTCACATATTCAAAAAAATAAAACCTCCAAAGAGTGAGAGAAATTAATGGCCCAAAGACATTAGGAAAGCATTCTCATGTAATCCTACATTGTCATAGAATCATAAAGTAGGAGACCTTAGAAGTGACCTAATTCAAGTCTCTACTCAATAAACAGTATTTTCAGAGACTTCTTTTAAAAGTAGGCATTCAGTCTTAGTTTGGTTATCTCAGGGACAGGGAACTCAAGTCAAGTCCATTTTCAAATATTTCTAATTTTTAGGAATTTCTAATTGAGAAAAATCTAATTTCTTTTAATTCCTACCTATTGGCACTACTTACATCTTCTGAAAGGAGAAATATAGGATTAAATCTACTCCAGCTTCTCTCAGTAGCCTTTGAAATAGTTCTCCAGAGTCTTCTGTTTGTTCACTTTGTTAAATCGAGTTTAGCCTAAAGCTGCCTCCTTACATATTTTAAATTTGGCCTAAGGGTTTCTCTATACATTGTGAACTCTAACAAGTGGAAGTGTAAACAGACCGTAGCCTACACTTGTGCCAATTACTGACTTTTGACCAATTAAATGTGGTCAACTGTTTGAACCGTGTTCAAATAAGGCAAACGCTGAGCGGTAACCAATCCAGTTGTTTCTGTAACTCACTTCCGTTTCCTTGTATATCATTTTCCTTTTTCTGTCCATAAATCTTCCACCACGTGGCGGTGCTGGAATCTCTGAACCTATTCTGGCTCAGGAGGCTGCTCGATTCACAAATCGTTCATTGCTCAATGAAACTCCTTCAGATTTAATTCAGCTGAAGTTTTTATTTTATCAACCTAAACATTTCTCATTCCTTTGAACTAAAATCATAGAATATTATTGATGCAAATGGCCATCCTTTATTACAATGTCTATTTTCTGCCAGTGCCCATGCCTGCCACTATCCCATTTAAGCATTGCAATGACCCCATAAGTCAGATGGTATTACTACCCCTATCATATGGATAAGAATTCTGGAGCCTCAGGGAAGTTCAGCCTCTTCTCACCATCTGAGTTGTTCCTTCTAGATGAATTTGTTTGTCAATGTGTCTTGAAAGCCTCTGGGAATTGAGCCTGTAGGTAATGGTTTTTTTGAGCAGGGTAGTGGCGGTAGACAAAACGTACTAGAAGGAAAACATTCGGAAAAATGAAAACCTTTTAAGAAACTGTGACAACAGCCAAAGGTGATAAGGTTGGGATGGCAGTGATAAGTAGCACAAGGTCAGGTTGATTACTCTGGTGTTGAGGAGTGAGGGGGTGGTGGGGTAGAGAATGGGAAAAGATAGGGGGTTTAATTTAATGAGCCTTCAAGTATTTATCAAGAAGGTACTATGCACCAGGCACTTTGCTGGGTTCTGGAAAGGGATAGTGAACAAAACAGACACATTCCTTGATTGATAGTCTGCTGGGGGAGAGGAACATTAACCCAATTAGCATAGCAAGAAGTATATACAATATAAGTGATTTAGAAGTATTGGTAGGTATTAGGAAGGGAAAGAATAGGGCTCTAAGGAAGCAATCGGGGATCATTCTGGAATAGGAGAATGTGCTATGTGACCTTAAGGTTGGTTGGTCATTCTTGGTCATTCTGATGGTGAGAAGCCCATCTCCCAGTTCTAAGTGATACGCTCCAAGTTTGGCCAACTGCCCAGCACCCACCAGCTGCTGACTGGACTCAGAGGGAGAATCTGTTTTTAGATGGTGCCTGACTTGAAGCACCCTCTAGTGTTAAGGAAAGGAAGGTAACAGCCTGATAGAGGGAATTGGGGAAAGACAAAAGAAATAAATTGAGACTTGTTTTGGGAACAGATGGGCTGAGGAGAAGCCCCAGAGGCCTGGGCTAACAGCGCTGAAGATGGGCTTTACAGAGTGTGTCCTACACCCCAGCTGAGAAAGCAGTGACGAGCCAGGAACAATTCCACTGATCTACATGGTTTTATTCATTTACTCTTAGGAGAAGTTACTAGTAGAACTCTAAACTACAAGTCTGGAAACCGTGACACAGAGGCTAAATAATTTCTCTAAGGTCACATAGCTTTAAGGGGGTAAAGAACAGAGTCAAGAGCTAGTGTCACTATGAAAAATGGCCCTGGCAGATCTCTCTATCCCAGTGCAGGTTTGAGATGATTTAGATGTGCTTGGCTGAGCTTTTCTTCGCAACAGCTTGCCTGGGGGCTGATAAAGAAATTCAAACAGATGTGATAAGCTGTGCTACCTGTTGCTGGGCTGATGCTGTAGAAAAATCCTAATGTCTCAATGGCTTAGCACCACAGACTTTGTTTCTCACTCAAATGAAGTCCTGTGGGGCATGGCAAGGGCTCTCCAAACCACCTCTCAGGGACCAAGCTCCCTCTGTCTTGTGGCACTGCCCTCTTAACACTTGGCCTCCAAATGTACTGAGTCAGGGAAGGAAGGGAGGGAGGAGGTACACTAGCTTCATCCCAAAATTGTTACACCAAACTTCCACTGTTAATTAGCCTGAATTAGTCACATGGACCCAACTTACCTGCAAAGGACAGTGGGGAAATGAAGAGACATGGATTATTAGGAGAGCACTATGGGTTCCCTAAAATGGGACTGATGCCAGAGCCCAGCAGCAGAGCAGCAGAGGCAAAGAAAAAGTGGATGAGCATAAGCAGTGGTTCATTTCCTCTCCCGCCCTGCAAAGCAAGATAACACTCATTGGACTGTGGGAGAACACAGCCTGTCCTTGCCTTGGGTCAGCCTGTTTTTGCTTTTCCACTCTGCTCCTGTCCCAGGGAAAGAGCAGGAAAGTTGGGAAAAGGGTCACTCCACAGAGCAGTGAGAAGTTGCACTTAATTTGTGAAAGGGGAAGAAAAAATAATCTTTCATCTCTTGGATGTGTGGGGAGACAGTGACTGGGGACAGAGCACAGAGATTTGAGCCCCTGGAAGTTCAGCGTGAAAACCTAATCCCTGAGGAATTTGCTGTCCTTCCTCCTTGTGGGGTGTGGCTCCTGTGGTCCCCACTTCCTGGTGTTTATGCCCCTGTGTAGTCCCTTTCTTGGGTGTTGGTGAGACCTGTGACTTACATTTAACCAGTAGAATACATCAAAGGTGATGAGAAGTCACTTTTGTGGTTAAATACAGAATGAGAAGATTGTAATGCCCGTCTCTTGCAGGAAGACTCTGTCCCTTGCTGCCTTGTTGAAGTTGGCTGTCATGTTGTGAGCTGCTCAGTGGAGAGAGTCATATGGTAAGGAATGGAGGGCAGCCTTTGGCACATAGCAAGAAACTGAGGCTTTCAGTCTGGTCACCCACCGGGACCTGAATCCTACCAATCATCACGTGAACTTGGAAGTGGATTTTTCCCAAGTTGAGCTCTTAGATGCAAACCCAGACCTGGCTGACACCTTGACTGAAGGCTTGCAGAGGACCCAAAGCTATGCCAGGACTGTTGACCAAAAGAAAGCAGGAGAGAAATGTGTGTTGTCCTAGGCTGCTGACTCTATGGTAGTCTTGGTATGCAGCAATGGATAAGTAATGCATGGGGGTCAGAAAGTGTGAGATGGGAGCGCATTGGTTTCCTAGGGCTGTCATAACTAAGCACTATAAACTGGGTGACTTAAAACAGCACAAATCTATTCTCACAGCTCTGGAGCTAGAAGTCTGAAATCAAGGTGCGGGCAAGGCCATGGTCCCTCTGAAGCATCTAGGGGAGGACCCCTCCTTGCTTCTTCCAGGATTTGGTATCTCCAGGCATTCCTTGGCATATGACAACATCACTCCAGTCTGCCGCTGGCTTCACATGGCCATCTTCCCCATGTATCTCTGTCTTCTCCTTTTCTTATAAGGATATCATACAGGATTAAGGGCCTTCCCTACTCCGTATCACCTTATCTTAATTACGTCTTCAATGATCCTATTTCCAAATAAGGTCATTCTGAGGGACAAGGTGTTAGGACTTCACCATATTTTTGTTAGCACATTTCAACCCATAACAAGAAAAAAAAAAACAAAAAAAAGAGAGAGAGAGAGAGAGAAGAGCTGACAATTGAAGTATCATCTGGAAAACAAGCACCTTCTTGGTGCGCCAGGTGAACATATCCAAGCAGTCTGCACATTCAGAGCAAGGATGAATGTCTTTGTAGGTGAGGATCTCAGAAACTACAGGGAGTGGACCCTTCCCTTCTCTCCAGGAGCTGCTTGAAATTTGTGAACAAAAGCCTAACTTCACCAGCTGAGAGAATCCCCATCCAGAGAATGGCTTTTTGCACAGCTGCCAAAAGGGTTGTGTGACCTGCCTCATGGCAGGGGGTGGCCAGATTATCCTGTATTCGAAGTCCTTGTATTCTAAGGTAACCTCATTCCATTAGTCTGGTGGTGTATTTGTAAGCCTGTCCTGGGTTAATGAATGGACCCTTTTCTCTGTCTCAGATACTGGAAGGGCCCACAAGCTACAGTACGTTTTCAACTATGGGCAGCTGCTGCCACCTTGTGCCAGAAAGACTCCATGGCTAGAGTGACCAGGGACCTCAGATCAGGACACTGTGAAGGGGCACGTCTAATAATTGTTCTGGGGCAGCAGGTGTAAATCGAGATTGTCCCAGGCAAACATATGGTCACCCCTGGGGAATGCAAGGGAACAACAGGATGTGCAAGGATTTTCCCAAGAATAAATATGAGTTTTCCAAGATGTTCTACTTTGCTACATTTACTCTCAGCATGAAGCTTCCTGTGCCACCTATGGTGGCCATCACACCTCACGCAAAGTTAACAATACATGAAAGAGTTCTGAATTCCTCTGGCACAAAGAAGAATGAATTTCCAACTATGCCTACTAAAAGAAAAGAGTGTCTTTCTACATTGCCTTTGAACACAACATACACCAAAAACATGTAAAGCTTTGTTCTGACTTTAAGGGTGCATTTTAAATCAATAAAGGAACAAAAAGCCCAGAAAGGGCCTAACTCTCTCTCTCTCTCTCTCTCTCTCTCTCTCTCTCTCTGTGTGTGTGTGTGTGTGTGTGTGTGTGTGCGCGCGTGCGCACTTGGTGCTTTCAAAATTGACATATTACTCAGATATGGAAAAATAAAAGTAAAATTTTTGTCTTATAATTGTTTAGTGTGGGTGCTAATTTCTGTTGGTAGCAGGGATGAGGTGAATTGGCAAGATATTTAAATGTACCAATTAATGGAAAGTTAATCTCCATTGCTCAGATCTGTTTTAGGTAAAGCAGCCAATTCAAAGCTTAGACTTTAGACAGCTCGAAGGGATCTCCCCTACCCCTTCTCAGGATGGTGTCTGGGTGCAGTGGTATTGCTCAGATGTCCTTGGTCCTCCCTACCCTGTGCTGAAATGTCCCTCATTCTGCTTGATGATGAAGATGCCACTAGTTTGATCTGGTTCGCAGGCATCATAGTGGCATCTGCCACCCACCATGCACACACACGGGTCCTTGCCATTGCCTCTGGTGACAAGAGCTCCATATACTCTGAGCTTCCTTAGGAACTTGGGTCTTTTCCGCTCTCTCAGCTATCATGCATCTCAGTGGGGTGCCGGAAAACTCTAGATTGCTTTCTCTCCAACACGCTGTTGTGTGTGATCCCTTGAAGACTGCCCTCAGCACGTGCCTGTGATTGCTAGTTCCCCTTTCTTGGATCATGTTGGAAGCAGCATTCCCAGCGGTGGAGGGTTTCTTTACAAGGTCTATGGTTTTCCCAAGCTCTGCCCAGTCTGTGAAGGACAGCAGCTCCTGAAGTTCTTAGACTCTCCCAAATTTATCTTGGGTGTGGTTTTATCCAAGATGCACCCTCCTGCCCTGTAACACCTCTTGTTAATGTTCCATCCTGGGGTGAGGAAGGGAGCCAGAACATTTCAGGTCACCCTTTGCCCCTCTTTTCTCCCTCACTCACCCAGATCCTAATCCCAGGATTAGAAGGAACTTCTTCCTTCCTCAATGGTGAGGGCTTCACTAACATCATATTTCATATTCTTCTCCAATCAATGGTCAATAATCTGTTCTGATGAGTTCTCTGGCCAGCTGAAAATCCTCTCAATTTTTTCCAATGTTCTCAAGATAGCCTAGAAAATGAAATAGGAACTCCCCTATTTTTGATGGTTCTTCGCTCCCCATGAAGCTCTAGATGCCATCAATTCAACATTTGGGGGTCACAGGCTAATCAGAGTCTAGGATTTACCAGGTTAATATCTGAAAACATATTATTATTTTACAGTGAGAATTGTGAATTTGAAAAAGTCATCAAATAATATTAAAGGAAAAATAGTCTTAGCTAGCAATTTAGAAAATAAATTGCTCTGATTAATTGCTAAAAAAAATTCCAGATGGATTAAACAATTGAAGAAAAACCATATTATTTTTTAAAACTAGTAGAAAATGGAAGTAAATATGTATCATATCTCTAAAGGAGTAATTTTCTAAGCTTTAAAATCATATAAGAAAGAACATAGGAAAAGAGAAATTAAAACACTTTTTAACAATTTGCCCCTCAACAATATATAAAAAGGAAAACGAAAGACTTGGAAAATATTTCCAGCACATACGAGTCAAGGAATGTTACATGGTTATATAACAGAAACTGCTATTCATTGCAGATTAAATTGATGCCTTAAGAAAGCAATTTGTTGACCGAGCACTGTGGCTCATGCCTGTAATCCCAGCACTTTGGGAGACCCAAGTGGGCAGATCATGAGGTCAGGAGTTCTAGACCAGCCTGACCAACACGGTGAAACCCCATCTCTACTAAAAATACAAAAATTAGCCAGGCGTGGTGGCGCACACCTGTAATCCCAGTTACTCAGGAGGCTGAGGCAGGAGAATCACTTGAACCTGGGAGGTGGAGGTTGCAGTGAGCCAAGATCACGCCACTGCACTCCAGCCTGGGCGACAGAGTGAGATTTCATCTCAAATAAAATAAAACAAAATAAAATAAAAAAGAAAAGAAAAGAAAGCAATTTGTCAATATAATCCAAGAATCTCACTATTTGGAATTTATCCTAAGGAAATAATTTTAAAATACGCACAAGATAGCTATGCTTTTTATAATCACATTCATGTTACATTGTGATGATCATTAGACACATTTGACTCTCCCATCAGACAATGGGACATTGTGTTTTTTTCACCTCTGAATCAGCATTCTTAGTCTGGAGTCTGGCATAATTGAAGGTGGCAAATAAATGTTGCAGAATAACTATTTTGTTGTAGTATTTATATTATACTTAAAGACTGAAACAATCTTAATTTTCAACAATAGGAGAATGACTAAATAAAATACAGTGCTGTCACTTAATGGAGAGATTGTCTACTAAAATAGCAATGTGTTGTCAGACATGGAAAACATTTTATGTAATTATAGCAAGTATAATCTTAAAGTACATACTCAGTTGTAGCCAAAACATAACTTTCTTCAATTTTCTATAGTAAGATTTACATTCCTTTTCAAGCCCGATTTTGACTAGTGGTACACGCCTGGTGTGGGTCCTGTTATGCTGATTCTGGGTAACCTCAGGCAATTCAAAGTCCTGTTGCCATGGCCTGTTCCTAACTGCTTGCATTTTCCCTGAGATAGTACCTAGCAGTTTGTCATTACCTGCTCCTACAGGCATCCACCAGGATGGGATGTCTATTGACTTCTTTCTCTTTAACCATTGATCCATGCAGGACCTGGATTGTCCTCTGTTCCCTAATACAGAGGTGTTTTAGGCCAGCCTCTGACTTAGCCACATTCCATCTGCATCATCACATCACCCTGGTGCTGCGGGGAGTTCTGAGAGGTTGCCTTGGGTCCTCAGGTCCTAGCTGGGTCACGTGTAGCCTTTGCTGCTCTCATATGGTGTTAAGTAGAAGGACCTCTGTGACACTTGTCATTTCCCTAGCTAGATTCTTTTCAGGATGGGAGTTTAGGCCATATCCATGGGGTTCTGGGGGTTCACGCCAGGTGGGGAATGGACCCCAGGATATGCACTTATTCTTTCTGATTCTCTGCAGCTCTACCCTAGTTGGCAACTTTATCAAGCCTTTAGGGGTAAGGAAAGCTGGCTCTGACTGTCCATTTACTTCCAGATGCCTTTGTTTTTGGCCTGGATTTCAACTGTGAAATGCGTAACCCACATTTGATTGCTTTATTATTTGGTTATGTTGTAACAGCCCTCCAGAGACAGAGTCTAGGCAGAGCTAAGATGTGAAATACAACAGGAGAAGCCAAAATAAAAATGGAAACCTTGATTAATGTATCAAAATATTAGTGTACTATAAAATGCAAAAATAAACAGAACCTCAGAACTTCATTATAACTGTGTGAACATTAGGTATACATATGGGCAAACACATGGAACCAGGAAAATCTTAAGCTAATTGTTGTGTTAATCAGGAGAGAATGTGGATTTATTTTTCTTTAGCAAATTTCCTTCATATTAGTTATGTGTAAATACCAACCATGCTGTTTGTGAAAAAGCTTAATCTATTTTACCTCCAATAATATAGAGCCTTCTTAGCCCCCGTATTTTCCATCTAATCTCCCATCAATCCCTGATGTGGCTTTTTCCTTCTAGTAAGGCCACTTCCCTTACCCACAACCTGCTCACACCAGCTTCCAAGACTTTGTTTAACCCAGTGGTTCTCAAACTTTAGTTACATCAGAATCCCCTGGAGCATTTGTTGAACTACAAAGGGCTGGACGCTGCCGCCAGTTTTTCTGATTCAGTAGGTCTGGGGTGGAGCCCAAGAATTTGCATTTCTAACAAGTTCCCAGGTTATGGCAATGTTGCCAGTTCAGGGACCACACTTTGAAAACCACTGGCTTAGCCACCCCTTTTACCTGAAATGTTCCTTCTATTTGCCTTCTTCTTTCCTCTCTCCCTTGCGTTTATAAATGTGTCATGATAACCTAACATGCATAACAGGCTTCAAGCACCCCTTAAGGAGCTTTGGATAGTATTGACCTATTTATTAATGTATTTCATCCTACCTTTTTCTCAACAAAATCTCAGAATTCTGATTATTTACTCTGCACCACCCCTGCTACATATATAATACAGTCAGTGCTGTATTATTTTGGATTTATTAATGCATACCTTTGTAATTATTTCATGCAATTTTTCTCTCCCTAATCAGCCCTCTGAGGCTCAAACAGGCTATTTTTCTTTTCCTCCGTAGTGGGCAAAGAACCGATGTTTGCTGACGGGGCTCACTGAAGGACGGGCGTATCATTTATTAATAGAGCACTGGCTGCAAAACCTGTCCCATCCAGCTGCTCTGCTCCACCCTTACTGGTCTTGTGGAATTTCCCCTCACTCTGTCCTTGTCCAGCAGTTTTCCTGCTCTTCTTTTGCAATGAATGCGTACCTCTCCCAATACATCAAAACCAATTCCCAGAGACAGCTGTGTGGAGATAGGAGCAAACTACCATTTAAAAATGGATTTCATTATAAAAGTAATAATACCATTTCACAGTTGTATATTTAAAAATACACAAAAACCAAAGAAGTAAATTTAAATGTACTCATAACCCCACCACATCAAGACATGCAGTTTTAATATCTCAAGGTTTATGTCTCACACATATTTTCCCACTAAATTAGGCCAATCTATAAGTACTGTTTTTCAACCCACGTTTTTCCATTTTCCAAAATATCAAGGCTTATTTACTGATGTCATTAACCTTTATATCAC